CTCTCTCTCTCTCTCTCTCTCTCTCTCTCTCCTCTATTCTCTCCCCGTTGATTATTCTTCCTCCTCTTCTTATCCCTTTCTCCCTCTCTCCCAACCGACTACTCCATTATTACACCTTGATCATCCTGATCATGTCTCCGTAATCGGACCCGTCTTCCCACTTCGCCTGGATCCATCTACCAGGCTGGTGATCCACCCGGTCGTGAATGCGGAGAAGTTCCAGACCGCATGCTCTCCAACGCCCTGTTGCCTGTCTGCCGCAGACCATGAATCCAGCCTGCTGTCTCTGCCTGGACTTGCTTCTTTATCTCTCTCTCTCTCTCTCTCTCTCTCTCTCTCTCTCTTGCTCTTTTCTTCTCTTCCTCTTCCTCTTCTTCTTTTCCTTGTTCTTGATCCGCTGTTTTTTTCTTTTTTGGTTGTCGTTATTCCCTCCTGCTTCAACGTACTCCCCGTCCCTCCAGTCGTTATGGCCTGCCACTCCACTCCGTCCCCTTTTCCCGCTTGATCCCTTGGACGTTGTGGTTGTATCTGTGGCTGTATCTGTGGTTGAATCTTCTCTCTGGGTTCCATCTACCTGGACACCATGCATCAACATCCCCGGTCTCCCGCCCCGGCCTCGGCGGGCCGCTCCAGTGCCTCGCGTTCCGAGGACCGCAGGGAACAGGGGTTCGGCTTCAACTCTCCCTCCGTAGAAAGACCTCCGAGTGGAAGAGGTCTGGGGATCGAGACCGATCCCGAGTCCTCGGAACACGGGCATCCCCCGCAGCCCTCCAAGGATGTCATGGCCAAACTCAATCAGATCATATCGGTATGTCTCTGACCCCTCTGGCGTCATCATCATCTCGGATGTTAACGGGTCGCTACCTACCCATACAGAATTATCATACCAAGGCGGCTCTGATCATCCTGCACTCTCGCGTCGACCTTCCTCCCTCCTTCGCCAAAGGCTCCGATAACCCCAAGGTGAACCGCTGGGTATGTTCCTCGTTCCCCCGCATTCCCTGTGGCAGACCGTCCGATCTAACATCTAACAATCTAGTTCAACGTCGAAATCGACGAAACCGACGTTCTCCGCGAACAGCTCCGGACCTGGCGCGCCTGTGACGCCACCGAAAACCGCCCCCCGCCCTTGATCATCGAAACCTACCTCGACACCAAAGGCCTCACCAATAACCAGAGTCTCGTCGTGCTGGATGACAATGGGAAGCGATGGGATGTCTTGGAATCGCTCGCCGCCTCCGAAGGGCCCCAGCCCGTCCGTCCCCCCTCCTCCCGCCCCGACGACGTGATCCTGGAGCGCTGGAGGATCGAACTGGGGGAGATGCCCAACCAGCTGCCCACCGACCTCGGCGCCATCCTACCTACCGTCTACAAGAAGAGCATCGTGCTCTTCCGCTCTCTATTCACTTACTCCAAATTCCTACCCGCCTGGAAGTTCAAGCGGAACGGGAGACTGCGAGCCAACCCGGTGTTGCGCATCAAGTATCGCGTCCTGAACGGCCAGGCCGCCCCGGAGTCCGCCCAGCCAGACCATTTGACCGCCCCCCTGTACGAAGGCAGTGGCAAGGTCGTCGAGAACTACAGCTTCGGTGTCACGGAGTCTCCGGCCGGCCCCTTTTCCGTCCAGGTCACCTACCGGACCACGTGTGATTTCCGGGTCGATGACTCCGAGGCGCTCTTGAGCTCGCGGTTCATGGGCGCCGACGACGAGATCTTTCGGCCGTCGCTCCCGACACGGGAGTCGACCCTCAAGGCCCCCCCCACTCACGAGATCGGCTCGGCCCCGTTGGAGAAGAGGTCCCTGGAGAATCCCGACCCCAGCCAGGCCTACGGCAGTCTCTCCACCTTCCATCAGGTGGGGCCCACCACCAGCACGAGTCCCATATCCGCCCTGCGGGCGGCGCGGGACGCAGGCGCTGTGTCCCCCTCTCCGCCCGGTCCATCTGCGCGGGCCCCCGTGCCCGTCGCAAGAGCGAGTCCCGCCAGCCGTGCCGCCGTGCTCGCCAACGAGGCCAGCCCCGGGGTGGCCAGACGGCCGTCGATCTCGTTTCAGCCCTTCAAGGCGCCCCCGCTCTCTGCGTCGCCCTCCCTCACCGACCCGCCGTTGGGCGGATCCCCGCGCTCGGCGCCGGTGCCGCGGGTGGAGCCCCGGAACATGCCGCCCCCATCCTCGGCCGCCGCGGCGCGGAGAACCCTGCCCACGGCCGCGGATAACCCGATCGCGGCCTCGAACTCCGCCTCTCCGCGACCCGCTTCGATCTCGCGGTACAGTAGCGCCTTCAGCCACCGGCGAGGGAGACTGTCCCTCGGCGGGGGGCCAACCCGGATGGACGACGATGCCTCCAGTGGGAAAGCCAGCGCGACGTCGTCGGCCCAGCCGGGCTCGGGTCTGCTGGCCGAGGCCACGGGCACCAGTGCCGATTCGATCCACGCCGATGATGAGAACATCTCCGAGTTCTTGAAGATGCTCGACCTGCGCAAGGATCTCATGAGCCCGTCGAACCCGGCAGCCCTCGAGGCTTCTGCGCGCCGCACGACGGCGACCTCGGCGGCCCTGGCCCGCTTTCAACGGATGCGGGACTCCAACGCGGCCCTCTCGGACTCCATGTCGTCTTCGCTCCTCTTGCAACGGTCGTCCAACTCCTCGAGCAAACAGCTCTCCGGCGTGCCCCCCATGGTCGCCGGGACGTCCGTCTCCACGGCCTCCTCCCCGGGCAAGCCCATCTCCCCGCACACCCCACACACGCCCGCCATCCCGTCCCGCCTCAGTTCCAACAGCATTGTCGACTACAACAACGCCGCCGGCGCCCACGACCCCACAATCTCCCACGTCGAGCATGGTTCGCCCGACGAGAACCCGAGCGATCAAACATCCGTCATCCCCATTGACATTCCCACCTCCCCGCCCCGACTCTTCCCCCCGACCTTCCGACGCTCGAGCTCGGCGGCCCATCGCCCCGCCCCCGCCCCATCGGACGAAGACGACATCTTCCCCTTCAACATGCGCAGCATCAGCCTCGGCGCCGAGGATCGGTCCAACGTGAGCCTCAGCGTTCTCCAGCGCCAGCACGAGTACGAAAGCGCCACGGCGACTGCCGGCCAATCGCCCCGAGACCAACACCCATCGCCCGCCCATGACGACGGCCCCGGATCCCACGCGGCTGCCTCCGAGGGGGGCTCCTCCCATCGAGGCTCTGGGCCGTCCGCGACCCCCCACCACGTATACCAATCTCGCTTCGGGAACTACCGCCGTCGAGGATCTTCCGGAGCGCCCCACTCCTTCAGCTCCGGCTCCGGCAGTCTGGCACGCGGCGCGATGCACCCTCCCTACCTCGCGGAACGATTTGAGATCGACCGGGATGGCAACGGGAGCGGCAGCAACAGCGGAACGTCGACCATGGAAGGGCGCGGGACGGGCCGTCGATCAAGCGCCGGCCGCCATGTGCCTCCCCCGTCTGCCCAACAGGACGACGATGAAAATCTGCTGTTCGCCATGAGCGACTATAGCGCTTCTCGCCGGAGTCTCGAAGAAGGACGCCATTTCAATCCTGGGCCTTCCCGGCGGTTCTAATGGAACTGATCATTGATCACACGAGACATGCTTGTCACGAACGAAGCCCCTCTCCCTTTCTCTTCATTTCCCCCTTCTTCTTTCTTCTTCTGTCTGGCACAGCCAGACAAGGTCAACCGAGCCAGCCTCCTCGACCCATTTACCCGCTATATTCTCGGGGATAACCCCCCGGACGTCTATCTCCTATGTTTTGCTGTGCTATTTAAAACCACAGGCAGTTCTCTATTCTATTCTTTATAGACTGGTATGCCAGCGATGCACGATTTTCAATTTGGGAAGACAAGTAGAATGGCTTTCTTATCCTTTTCTTTCTGACATTTTCTATTCTAATCTTTGCCTTCCTGATTGAAGCCTTTTCCCATTGCTCATAATTGGTGTTATTGGTTACGGCGCGAATTTGGACATCTCCTTTTCTCCTATTCTTCATCCTACTTTTTTTTTTTTTTTCCTTCTCTCTTTCTCCCGTGGGACACCAACACCGACCGACACCAATCTGTCCATATATGATTGATTATATCTTTTCATCCTATACGTGGGACATGACATGATTCCGCGTATTATGTATCTAAGCTAGCTTAACGAGTATGGAACTGACAAGACAATTTTGATATGATTTTGAATCCAGTTTGTTTTATCTTACCTGGAATGGACTTCTTCTTTTCTATTGAGTTCAAGAATTGATATAGCGAGATTGGGTATCTTGATAAAAGGAAAGGAGGATTGATCATCACGAATCGTATTGCTAGCTATGAACCAGGTACATAGTTATAGATACTTGAAATGCCCCCCTCGAGTAAAATATGCCTAACCAAGCTCCTTTTTATCTGGGTAACGGGAAAGAAGAAAAAAAAAAAAAAAAAAAAGGGTATCTATCTATCTGTCTCTGGGATCGACCCTCAAAACCACATCCATGATATCCTCCACATGTCACCCACACATCCTCACAACTTCCTCACAAGCAGCCGACCAGTTAAGTACTGGGTCGTCGAACAGGGCCACGACGACCCTAACTCCAAGCTTCCCACACATCAACTTTGTCGCACTAAGCTGATGTGTCTGGCTGTCGCGTACACCAGACGAATGTGTGTTCCGCTTGATGGAAAGAGTCTGGACGACGGACCGCCTGGGAGTCAAGGGAGGAGAGGAGGCCTTGCTCTCATTCATTACGATCATGCCTCGAGACCCTAACAGCCCGTCATGGACAGACGATAGTACATTTGCGGCACTGCGAGACGGGGACAGCAACGGGCAAAATGCAAGAATAAAACAAGTGCCGTAAATCACATCTTGCGGAAGGTATTCCCGGAGGCACTCCGTCTGTCCTTCGCGCGGAAGTTGTTGGACGACGAGTAACTCGGCCGGTCGTTGTCAGGCCGATCTTGCCTCTTCTTCGAGTGCGGCGTGAAGGTGACCTCCCTCTCACCGACGACAGTACTGCGCCGGGCGGGCTTGTCGCGGGAGCGCATGTTCTGGGCGCGCGCGCCGAACGAGCGGTCGCGGGAGGTGTGGCCCGAGCCAGCGGAGGAGGAGACTTGCATTTGGGGCTGCGGGCGGTTGGTGCGCTTGTAGGAGGAGGTGGAGATCTTGCCGGAGGGTTTCTCGGCGGCTGGGCGGTGGGATTGGGGCTCGTCGGAATCGGAGTCGCTGTCGGAGCTGGAGCCGGAGGCGCTGTCGAGGGCTTCTTGCTCGACGGCTGTGAGGCCGCGCTCTTTGCGGGGCTGGGAGGCGCCGGTGCCGGGGGTGGGGACGGAGCTGGGGTTTTGCAGCTGGAACTCGCGCGAGGTCTCGTCGATGGCGAAGTCCGTGTCTTGGAAGAGTTGCGCGAAACGGCTGTCGCCCATGAGGCCTTCGTCGGGTTTCTCGGCGGCGGCGGCGGCGGCGGTGGTGGGGGTGGTGGTTGTGGTGGCGTCGGGCATTTCTTCGTCGCCGCCGCGTGCCAGGACGCGCTGCGCCTTGCGACGCTCGTTCTTCTCCTCGATGTACATGAGCTTCTCGGCGAGGTTCTTGTTGACCTTGACGGCGGCCTTCTTCTTGCCGCGGATGCGGCTCTCGCGCTCTTTGTCGATCTTCTGTTTGACGCGCTTGGCGCGCTCCTCTTCCCAGATGTAGGGGTTGGTGATGAGGCGGGCCTCCTCGTAGAGGCGCTGCGCCACGAAGTAACCGTGCATGTAGGGGCGGAGGAGGTTGGTGCGGCCGATGAGGTGTTCCAGGTTGAGGGTGCGCAGCTCGGGGATCGTCAGGAACTTGAAGTTGTCGTAGATGGAGCCCGCTTGGTTGACGTTGAAGGCGTTGGGGTCGTTGGGGTCTTCGGCCATCTCTTCCACGAGGTTGTCCAGGAACGAGCACCATCTCGGGGCCGGCCCAAGCTGGGGGATGAAGAAGGAGTGCTGTTGGCGTCCTTCGTTGGCGGTCAGGATCATGCCGCTGTCTCTGCACCAGGCCACCGAGTTGATGTCGACTGCGGGTTCGACGGACGTCCAGGGGGTGCCGTCCTTGGGGTCCCACAGCTTGATGATCTTCTTGTCCGCGGACATGATCTTGGGCTCCAGCGTCTGCTCGCGGGATGCGGTGGAGGGCTGGAGGAACTTGAGGGTGTGGATGGGGAAGCCGTAGCCCTGGTCCTTCTTCAGGAGAGGGACAGGCGACCGGAGATCGTAGAGGTGGATCAAGCCGTTCGAGGAGCCGGTGCCGAGCGTCAATCCGGAGCGATGGAACTCCAAAGCGGTGATTTCGTTCCTCATGTCGTCGGGGCCAGTCTGTGTGGGTGGTAATAACACCCCCGCCCGACCACGGGCTCTCGAATCCCAGAGCTCCACTGTTCCCATCGTAGTTCCGAACGCAAGAAGGTTGTGGCTTTCTTCCGCGATCGCACCCGTGTTCACCGCACCGGTGTGGATTCCACCCTGCAGTGTGCCTCCGCCAGTCGACATGAAATCATCACCGCCAACGTCCACTTCGTAGCTCCGCATGTACCGTCCCAGCTCCAGATTCAGTCGGAACACCTCGCCCATCCCATCCTGATTGACACCAACCGACGGAATCAGGGCGTCCGTCGTCTGTCGGTCGTACACGAGGTCACGACCATATCGGGGGAGACGCGTTCGATAGTGACATCCGGACGGGGTATGGAACTCCAGCGACCGATCGGACTGCAGATGGAGGGATTTCGAATAATCGGACGCAAGGAGAAGGAAAGTGGTATTGAGAGCATCTGTATGACGAGCCCACGAAAGCGACAACTGTGGGAGGTAGTGGGTGTGAATCTGAGGTTTGTAGGTTCCTGGAAAAAGACGGTGCTTGTGTCAGTCGCAAACTCTGACCAACGCTGTCCACCATGTTGATATCTCTTACCTGTACTCATGACCCATTCCCCATCTTCACTCACTCGGACACATTGACTCGCCTCCTCGAACTCGAAATCCTGCAGCAGTTCAATGCGATTGGCATATTCGGGGTCATTTTTTAGACTGCGCTTGCGCCGGCGAGCCAGCCACTCAGGCAATGGACGGGCAGTATTCGAGCCGGAGATGGTATAGACGGGGACCTCTGATTGATTGGAGAGCTTCATGGTGAGAGAGCTCCAGGTGAGGTCAAAGAAGAGGGTGTATTGTGTTCTCCGTCTTGGAGATTGAAAATCCAGAGAGAAAAAAAAAAAAAAAAAAACGATAAGCTGACTGATAGCCGCCCCACGTGACCGAGCCGCTGTCGATCGGCGCTGATTGGTTTGCGCGGGCCGAATCAACCTCCGTTGGGAATCGATAACAATCGCCATCATCAACTCATCTGCTGCATCGCTCTGCTCCTTGCGCTTCGCTCTATTGCCCCTTCAATGCTGTAGTTCGCCTCTTGTTCGTTGTCTGTTTTGGCTGTCTCTGGTATGCTTCTCTCGCAAACCTATATGCGACGCTCCCTCTGATCGCCACTCCACCTTACCTGGCATTGTTTACTCGTCAATCCCCCCCGGGCGGCGATGGCATCAGACCCCCGTTCGATGTGCTGACTTCTCCGCACCCAAGTTTCATGCGCTATGATGGGTTTTGCTCTGGGGTGCTGCTGTCTCTCTAGATAATATTTCTGGAAATGCATTCGCTTTCGGTGGAACTCGTATCTCTGGCGACATACAGGACGAGCCAGAATCTCCCCCGGGACAACCGTCGATAAATCATGGAATTTCCCGGAGGGTCCATTACCAATATTCGCGCCATAGTATGTGACTGTCCAATCGCGCTGAGAGGCGACCATCTAACGGGGACGTATAGGACGGGTTCTCCAGTATATACTGGAGAATATATACAGAAGAGCCGAATATCGCCAGTATACCGGGCGAGACTCCCGCCAACGGCTACACGATCCTCAGGCATCTCAGTCGCCTCAAAGACCTGGAACTGCGCCTTCGGAATGCGAATTGTCTTGTCTCGAGCTACCCTCGTCGGCTGGGTCTATGGGTCTTCTCGGCGACTCCCGATTTCGAGAGCTTGGACCCATTATGTCCCAACCAGGGTCAGGAGGAGCGCAGTCGGCTGGCCGTAGATTCGTTTACATTGAAAGGTTTATACAGCCCGTGCTCTGGCTATTCTAATCGTATGGTATGATGGTTACTGACGGAAATGCAGCCTCCGGGTCGGGGAGTACTACGGCCGCCGATCTAATCAAGAACCTATCTACCGAGCCTCAAACGCCAGGTCAGAATGCGTCTGCGTCGCAAAGACCCACAAACGGGCCTCCGCCCGCGAGGCGGATGGATGGTTATGCAAGTCCGGGTGCGATCTACGCCGCATTCATTTCAGCGGTGACCGGTGCCCTCAGCCTGCAATTAATCCGGCGCGACCATGCCATCCCTTTGGGGTCACGGACACTTTTCACCGCCATCGAGGGCGACGATGATGAGAGTCCCAGGATCGCCAATGACGATCCAGCGTCTATACCAACATTGACAACCCTCCACGTTCAGCTCACCTCTGTCGGCAAACTGATGATATCTTTGCAAACGGTGGCCCAGGATGGCATCACGCGACTTAGTCAACCCGACTCGGCACTCGAGGACATAGTGGACGCCCCTCGTGGAACTGATCTCTGGTTATCCCCCAGCGGATCGGTTGCCCGACTGGTGTCCGCTAACCCGGACCCAGCTACCGCGCCGTCGCCCTATGTGACCGCTGATGCCGCCGGGAATGACCGCTCAAGAAGTGTACACCACAAGCAATGGAAACTAGCAGTGTTTGACTGGCTCAAGTGCTTTGGATTGCCCGTAAGGCCCATCAACGAAATGGCGTGGGTGGAAATTGAGGTTTGGGAGCCATTTTACTCTAGGTTGGCTGGCGAGACGTGGCGGCTGGGCGAGGATAACACACCCACGCTTCCCCTGAAGCGCATCCTCTGGCCGGCCATCTATTGCTTTAGGAGGTCAAGAGCAGCTTTGTCAGCCCTGGTCAATCCTCTCTGCAGTAGCCCTTCTCTTCACAATGATCCCTTGGGGTTTGCAGAGATGTGGCGCACGGTAGAAATCCCCAAACCCGTCGAAAGGGACCCTATGCCCTTGTCCAGCCATCAAGATCAACCTCCAAAGGCAGAAACTGATCCCGGCGAACTTGATTTTCCCGAAGGAATAGAGAGTCTCTCCCGTGCCTCCCAATATCCGGAGTTACAGACGGCAAGTCTCGTGTATCCCACGCCGCCGGACGGAGCTGCTTCCCTGGGTGTAAACCCTACAAATGCCACAGATCTCTTTGTCGAAGATTCTAGTTTCGGCTCACTCCCAAACCAGACCAAAGTAGGGTCTCTAGCACAAATGCCCACTGGAGATTCCGATGTTCCGATGGTCTTTGGCCCCGCGGCTGGGCTTGTAGTCGGATCCGGTCTGTACGACACAAATGAAGACGATCTTTTCGGCGATTTGGATGAGCAGGATTTTGGGGATAAAGGGATCACCGATGCTGATTTCAACTTTTTCGACGATGCTGACTTCCAGGGTTTGGGCGACGGCCCACCGAGCCATGGCACCGACGAGATGACCGATCTTCTCGGTGCTGAGCCAGATCTGTCGCCCACGGTTTCTATGCAGCCACCAGTTGAAAGCGAACAACCCTCGGATCGACAAGCCCCGGCCGAACCTATCGAAACGCCCCAGTGCAGCGGCACAGACCAACAAGTAAAGCCTGAAGAAGAGGAGATCGGTCCGCGTGACAACACAACACCCCCCTCGTCGCAAAATGACAACAACCAAACAATAAGCCCTCCCCTGAGCCCTGTGGAAGTCAAAAAGATCATCCTTCCCGCCCCGGATGGAAACGGCCGGCTTCCCGTACCAAAGGGGCAGAAGAGCTACTATAAGCCCGTGGCATTCAAACAAGACATGTCCAACTGGGACCAAAAATATGGTGCGGCTGGGAAGTTTTGGTTCAAGAACGCGCCATCCGGCGCCGATAAGTCCACCAATACTGATGGTGACATCCCAACCATCGGTCTTCCGCGCCATACGCGGAATAGTGTGGTTTCCAGAGACGTTGCAAAGACGATGGACGGGCATGGAAGTCCCTCGACTGAGATGGCTCAAGACGATCAAAGCAGCGTTACAAGCGAAGGGAGTGATGAGAGTGTCTCCGACAGCGAGTCATCCCACGCCGACCTCCCCACGCTAAAGAGAAAGCGCGTCCGTTCCAACTCCCCTAGCACAACGGCCATGTCGCATGGAATAGCTCCGGTGGAAGACGAACAAGACTCCCAGGGTCACCGAGCCGAAGATGCAGTCTTCTTGGGAAACCTTCTCTCTACCTTTTCGGACTGGTCAATGACGGGCTATTTTTCACTTCCAGACAATCGGCTATTGCCCGCCATCGCCCGTAGGGAAGTGCAGGTTCAAATTGCCCAACTTCTATCCGACCAGGTCACTCAAACTTCGTTAAATCACAAGCTTGATGGAGATCTTGGTCTCGGTGATTGTGGCAGTAAACTATATTTCTTACGCACATCCCTTGAGGATACTCCCTTCGTGGGAGGGAGCGAGAGGCTTGACCTGAGTAATTATGCTTCACTGCAAGACACCAATAATTTTCTTTCTCCGCCTTCTGGTGGTCTTACCCCGCGTCAATCTTCTCAGCGCCGAGAGGCCGCGCGTGGCTCGATATCAAAGCTACCATCGCCGCATCTACGTGTCCGCCGTGGCAAAGACTATTTGGAGGTTCTGCCGGCCGCAATCTCCTTCTGGGAGACGTTCGGGCTGGAACCTGCCCATGGTCCGAAAAACATTACGGCCTATTGCATACACCCTCACACGGCGGCGGATGCCGCCCATGTTTTTCTGGAACGTCTCAGCTTGGCATATACGAGCTGCAATCTTGGAACTCACAGTCGAGGGAATGAATCAAATCATTTTCAACATGGGTTGGGCAAGTGGGTTACCACCGTGACAGGAGGGATGGGCTACCCGAACGTGATGATGACCTTGAAAACCATGTGTGAAGAATTCGGTAAGACAACCGTAATAAAGAGCGTGGCCGTAAGCTAATGTTTCTAGGCGCCGTTCTTACGCAAGGCGTGCCGAAAGAGGGCAATATAGTGCTCTACATTGTCAATCCGTTCACTCACGCTACGGCGTTGGCTGACATCTGTGCCGCTTTCTGGAGTCTTTTCCAACAGTACGCTGCCGCCGCGGACACGCAGCAGACCCGACAGTTGAACGAGCTCGTGCTACAGATCGTCCCTAGTGATTTCATGATGTCTGCGGAGTCTTTGGTGGTGCCGCCGCAAACACAGTATCTTAACTTAGCGCTGGAAGTCTATAGCCGATGTCACCCCAAACCCCTGTCAACGAGCCTCACGGGCTGTGCCCCTCCGGTCCTTCTCGCAGACTCCATCCCAAGGTCCATCAATTTCCGACTTGCCCCAGAGAAGTCCTCGCCCTTGCAGGATGGCCGGTGCCTTCACATCGCATGCTCAAGAAGCCAGGATCAGCGCTGGCTCGGCGTGGCGTGGACTGACACTAGTGGAAACCTTCAGCGAAATATCTCCTATTGTCTACGATTCCGGAACGCGAGCGCGTACACGGCCATGTCTGATATACGCAACGAGATCTGGAAGGCGACCAGGGAAATGCTGGACAGGGCACAAGCGCGGTGGCGGGTCATGCTCGCATACACGGACACGGTCGATCAGGAGGAAATCGACGGTAAGACTATCAGCTCCTAGACTTGCTTGCTCGCTTTGCTAACATTCTCTCAGCATGGTCTGGTTTTATCGACCAATACAGCAAATCCAACGCGGTCTCCTTGGAACTCACCATCTTCGCCGTCAACACCACAACCGACTTATCTCTCGAGCCCCCAGCCACGCCCATCCCAATGAGCATCTTCAGCTCCCAACCCGCATCAACGCCCGTCGCCACCCCCAACCCCAGCGGCAGCGTCCTCTCCCCAGAACAATCCGCCAACGCACCCACCCCTCCAAGCGGCGGCGGCGCAGCCGCCAACGCCCCAACACCCACAGACGCCCAAATCGAAGCCGAATCCGAATCCACACTAATGGACATCGGCGACGAAACCTGGGGCGTAATCCTATCCCACCGACTCAACAACTCGCCCCACCTAACAGAGCTCCGCCCCGTCTTAGCAAGCGGATATTTACTGCGCCGCCGCGGCGCCGCCGACGGTGACGGAGTGTACTCTATGTGCGTCAATCTCATACACACCACGCGGCCCTCGCAGTCCTACGAGGGCATCCTCCGAGAATCACTAGGCATGTACCGCGGCCTAGCTACGCTTGCCCGGGCTCGGGGCACAGTCACCGTGCAGCACAGCACGCTACCTTGGCATGTTGCTACGGCAGTTCGAGCACAGGAAGTGCTTAGCTATGTTCTTTGATGTAGGGAATAATATACCCATGACATGGCGTCGGGGGGGTTTGATTTCTTCCATATTCTTATCTTTTTTCATCTTCTTTCTCTTTTCTTCTGGATCTTTCTTCTATCTTTTGACTCTTTTCTTTGTATATTGAAGCATTTGGATATGATATCCCATTTCGCAGGCGGTTTGTTTTATTATCAGGTTTAGGAATATAGATTTGATTTGGCTCGGGCTGCGGTCCAGATACTTATTTACTGACTCACTTATCCAATTATTATCATGTAGGTATCCCACGGCTGGGTGTCCGATAGTTCTTTTTGACAGTCAAAAAAAAAAGAATAATATTTATTCACCTGATTATTGAGGTTTTATTCGTACGTAGGATAGGTAAGGTCACCCATATACTTAACGTTTTAGTCCAATCGATATATATATCTCACTTCGAGAAATGAAGTTTCCGTTCTATACACCCGACAGAACCCTACAATTACCCACAGCAATATGTTATTCCTATTTCATTTGGCAATACTCTTAAACAATCAAACAAGTCCTTCAAACTGGTATACCGCCTTGGTGCCTAGCTCAGCTTTTCCAATATACTATAGCTCTACGGAGCAACTCTGGGTGACGGGGGAAAAGACACGCCTGTGCAGGGCATGGTGTTCGGATTAAAAACCATGGTCTTTTCACCTTGGGAAGGACAAACCTAACACATTTGCAGCATTACAAGGACAGCGTCAATTGATGTGGAGCGACATCCTTTGGCGCTAAAATCCACCGCAGCACTGTCATTCTACCGTTTGTAACAGAAGGCCTATTGTATGAACTTAAGCCGGGCTCAAGTGGACATGCGCTGCTGTTTAAGGCGCTAATGATGTAGAGTAGAGACCTGAAACCTCATCTCTAGTATTCATTGGACTGTTGTCTTTTGCCGCCATTATTATGTCTGGTGCTGGAGGAGACAGATTGGTTACTCAATACGTCAAGAGCTTCCAAGAATAAGTAGAAGTACCTAATTAGTTTTGGGGCATACTAGGATACATGTAATGTCAAGGGAATTCTGGAGGTTTGACATACCAACACCCGAGTGTCCTAACTATTCTGAGTTTGACACAATTCAGATGTCAGTCTCAGAAATCGCTCCAAAGGTCTGTCTGCTTTCTGAAGTAGACACTCAAGCGATAGATCCGAAGCCTCGTGAACTTCTGGAAGTTCGATTCGGAAAGTCGATGGTATAATCCCGTTCATTTTTGTCCACGTAGAGATCGTTATTACCGCGGTATTCAGATCGACTGTGTAGACATAATCCAAACTGGAATGGGGTGGGCTGGGGAAAGGGACTTCTTCCCAATCATCAGTGTTCCTTTCCTCTTGGAGCTGTTTTATTTTCTAAAATGTAGCTTTATCGCCTGGAGAGCTGGTACGTGCTTGACGGTGGCAATAGCGAAATCATTTGCCTGTACCGCATGGTAAGCACACTTGAATTGACTTTGTATGATATGAGAATACCATTATTATGCAGATTCCAAAGACCTCTGGTGACTATTTTATCAAAATAGAACTTGGTACATTAGCTAAAGCAAAATGTTTCTTTTTTCTTATTTTTTTTAGTGCCTTAGCTTTGTTCTGCCTCTAAACAGACCTAAGTTCTGGTGTCTGGAGGATGAAGTTATCCAGAGCCCCTTCGATATACATACTGGGATTCCGTCATCGGAGATCACCTGACCCACTATCAGCTTATCATATCTAATCAGCATCGCATCTGAAAAATCATTTCCACCGTTTTGATAGACTGTTTTTAACAATTGTTCAAACCACTCAATTGGGAGATTTACACGCGACAGCATTCTTTAACTTGTCCTACGAGATAATCAAATTAACATACACACATTCGGGACAAGATCTACCGACCTCATCCACCTACCTACTATCCATCTACCATCTACAATCTCTACCCCTCCCCCCACCCAAAATGTCCACCCAAGAGCAACCAAACACGGCGACAGCCCATCTCGACCTCGGCATTACTCTCGCCATCCACTCCTGGCCGGCCCTCACCCTTGCCGTGCAATCAAACTGGGGCGGCCCGACAAGCGCCGACAAACGCGACTGGCTCTGCGGCGCGATCAGCGAGATGCTAGCCGAGCGGCCGGAGACCGACGCGGAGGATCTGGAGGACGTGCTGGTGCAGGTGATGAACGACGAGTTTGACGTGGTGGTGGAGGACGAGAGCGCGGCGCCTGTTGCGGCGCGCATTATGGAAATGAAGGGGGCTGTGGAGCGCGGCGAGACGGAGGGGATTAAGGAGATGTGGGCTGAGTGGGAGAAGAAGGCCGCGAGTAAGGCGGATGTTGTGGCGGGGTTTAAGAGAGGGGAGGATGAGGAGGGGGAGACGGATGATGAGGAGGATGAGGAGGATGATGTTGATATGGGGGATGCGCCGCAGTTGGTGAGGGCGCCGAGGGAGAGGGTTGAGCCGGAGGTTGATGAGGATGGGTTTACGAAGGTTGTGGGGAAGGGGAAGCGGTGATTTGTTTATTTTGTTCTTCTATTCTGTTTGTTTTTGAGGTTATATCCTGTTGGGTGAGGTAGCTTGTGTTTTATAGATATACCATGGACATGATAGTGTTACGGTGAAGGAGTGAACATTCCAATCACTTTTATTCCAATCGATTAAAGCAAGATGGGAATTCTATACGCAAGGAGGAAATAAAAAGAAGTAATAGGTTCATCATCGTCAACCGAGTCCGGGCGTCATCATTCACCCAGCTCTCTACCAGCCAGTAATTCCTCCCCGCAGCCGACGGGCCTGCACCCTGTTTTAGGGGAGCTGGTAGGATCAACTAGGAGGGGGTAATCTTGGTGTCGAGGATGGGCATTTATTTCTCCTCGTTGGGAATCAGTCTGGTAATCATACCAATGGCAACGGTTTGGCCCTATGATCGGATTAGTATTCGCTCGATTAAATCTTCTTAAGGAGGATAACTCACCTGGTCACGCAGCGTGAACCGACCCATCTGGTTGTAATCCTCAAAGCGCTCCACACACACCGACCCAGCAACACTGGTAACGTCCAGACGGGCGATGATCGTCTGGCCCTTGCTGGCGAACGGCGGGGGGCGCTTGCTCTTGCGGCCGGTGCCGGGCTCACACTTGTGCAACAGGGAGGACACCGTCACTTCTTCCACAGCGGAGTGTACGTGCATGACGCAGTTGTACCCAGCCGTCAGGATGCTCTTCAACTCGAGAATGCGGATCTTCGCTTCGAAGGAAGAGACGCAGTGCACCAGACGCTTGGGCGAGCAAAGCACGAACCCGGGCAGGATGTCTTCCTCTTCGGCACCGCGGAGACGCATGCGGACCTGATCACCGCAGGTCCCGGTGGCGATCTCGTCCTCAGTTTCGCCGTACAGGGCCGCAATTTCGACCTTCTGGCGGTTGGGCATCATGATGCAGTTGGAGTTCTTCTTGATAACACCGGATTCTACGCGGCCCTCCACTATCGTACCCATGTCGCGGTACTTGGAGCTGACGGGCATCATGAACGGAGCGTTGATCTTGCGCTCGGGCATCTTCATGTCGCTGAGATACTCCAGCAGCGACGGACCGCCATACCACGGGGCCAGATCCTTGGGGACACGGTCCTTGACACCCAGGGTGCGCTGGGCCGAGATGGGCATGAAGAACAGGTCGTCCTTCTTGTAGCCGAGAGCCTCAAGGAACTTGGAGACCTTGACCGTGCACTCGTCGAAACGGGCCTTGCTCCACTCCACGGTGGGGTCGTCCATCTTGTTGACGGCGACGATGAGCGTCTTAACGCCCGTGTTGCGAGCCAGCAGCGCGTGCTCCCGGGTCTGACCGCCCTTCTCGAATCCAGTCTCGTATTCACCCTTGCGCGCGGAGATGACGAGGACACCGACATCGGCCTGCGAGGCACCGCCGATCATGTGGTGGACGAAGGCCTTGTGGCCCGGGGCATCCAGGATGGAGAAGTCGCGCTCGACGGGGCCGTCGGGCGACTGGATGGTGAGCTGGAAATGAGCACGGCCGACCTCGACGGTCTTACCCTTGGCACGCTCCTCGTTGGTCAGATCCAGAGCCCAGGACAGGTACCAGGTCTCTCGACCGGCCTCCTTGGCGTCCTTCCGGTACTTCTCCAGGGTTCGCTCATCGACCATGCCCGTGACGTACAGGATGGCACCACCCAGAGTGGACTTGCCCGCGTCGACGTGACCGATGAACACGATGTTGACGTGTTCCTTCTTCGCGCCGTAAATTTCCTTCAGCGTATCCTCATCCACGTCGGCCTGTTGTTCCTTGGCAACGGCATCCGCAGCACGCGCGGCGCGGGTGACCTCGCTGCGCGACGGGCTCGACCGCCCGGGGCTGGAACGGCCCGAGGCCGAGGGAGCGGGCGAGGACTTGCCGCTGGCGGCTGCCTTTTGCTCCGCCTTCTTATCCGTCTTGTCCACCGCCTTGCTGGCCGTCACCTTGGCCGCCGACTGGGCCGCCTCCGTGCCCTGAGTATCACCGGGAGTGTTGGAGCCCGACGAGGGGGTGGTCGAGGGGGTGGGTACGCCAAGGGACAGGACCTTGGTCTTGGGAGCGGAAGCAGAGGTACTGGCTCCTCCGATCGAGAGAACCTTGGCCTTGGGGGGAGCGGCGTTGCTGGCGGCGGGCTTAGGGGCCGACTGGGCGGGTTGCGAAGCCGGCTGGGTGGCTGCCGGAGCGGCCTGGCGCGGCTGCTGAGCGAACTGTTGCTGCTGAGGGTTCTGAGGCTGCTGATAGCCACCGTACGGCTGGTTATAGGTCTGGTTGGGTTGCTGGCCGTACGCGCCATACTGGTTGTTGTTGTACTGCTGGCCATACTGCGGGTAACCGCCGCCGTACGCCTGCTGACCATACTGAGGGAATCCGCCACCATATTGGAACGACTGACCCGGCACAAAGGCCTGAGCCCCTGGCGTAAACGCCGACGCCCCAGGGTGGAAGGAGGGGGCCTGTGGCTGAGGGCGGCCTTGTGCGTTCAGGTTGACACCCTCGGCCTGCTTGGAGAGCTCATCCTCCCAGGAATCGGGGGTGTTGCCGGCCATATTCCAGGTAACTCGAAATCAACAGAACCAGGAGACGGACAGAGAGAGAGAGACCTCGAGTGATGACCGAGGGGGAGATGAGGAGGAGTTGAGGGAGTATGGACGAGAGTATACAAGTGAGGGGCGCCAGCGACCTCGATGGATTTTGCACCGGCTGAGTCAGCACCCCGCCCACGCGTGGATCAGAGCCGCATCCTCACGTGATCTCCCCTTTGGGACCCCGCCATATCACTTGACTCTGATGAATCATAACTCATTGTAGTTGCAGGTGGGAATAGATTATACCCACCATGAATATACAGAACAGCAGAAATGTGTGATACGGATATGGATACGATACAGAATGTGGAATGGAATATGGTTGGGCAGTAAAGTATAGATCGCTCACCGCCCCGCTATCATTTTGCACTGTTTGTCTTCTCCATCATCGCGACGACGTCGTATTCTGTATGGATTTCTGGGTGGATTCTGAATGAATGCAGACACTCAGGTAGACCTTAATTTGCCTCGATCAGATGGGCGACGGTTACCTACTTCTTATTGTTTCTTACCTATAGGCATAGACCTTTTACATCCACGCGCAACAGACCAGACCATGTGGGTTTCTCGTTATCGATAAGAAAAGCACCACAAAATCCCCTCATTGCCTCAGGAGCCCCGTCTTCATCCGCTGGACTCAGTATACTCTGTCGATCGACTGTCTATTATACGTTGGCAAGATGGACGCCTTTCTCGGCCGGGTATGTTGCTGGTGTTATTGGGAAGAGAGACGAGGACGAATGCCATATGCTAACTTTGCCTTTAGCTCACCCAGCAGGCGATGAACTATGCCATCCGGTGAGACTCGGATGGAAGACTTGCGAGACAGCTGAGAAGCGAGCTGACACAGTACTATCTTAGCTCGGGGATCGCCATTACAGCAAACTATGCAATCGGTCAGTCAACGCGTTTGCTGAAAGTGAGTGAAATTCTTCCCCTGTTGGTCAATGCGGACATTGATATCTAACGGCAATCCTTCTGGTTTCCTGCAGAATGTGGAGGATCGAGAAGAACGAGAGGAGCTCTTGTCCCTTCAGCAGCGACTGGAGAGCAAAATTCAGGTGAGGTGGGTCCCCGGATGGTCACAGCAAAGGAGGCTAAACCAAGAGTACAGGTCATATCTCCCGCCATCGACATGATCGAGCTCATGTGGGTACTCACATATCCAAAGATGCATTGCATAAGATCACTAACCCGCTTCTAGAGCGGCCCGGGGCAATACCTCGCTCGAATCTGCCGTCTACCTGACGAAATCTCTCCGATTGGATATCCAGGCTCTGGGGCAGCGACTGGCCAACGCCGCCGCATCAGAAGAACTAATGCGCAGAGGCGCAAAGTCGTCCCGAGACCGTTCCCGCAATGACGCCGAAATCAAATACATCATCAAGGATATCAAGAAACTGCTCATCCGGATCGAAGACGCGGTGCCGCTGATGAACCTGGCCATTACCACATCCGGGGCCAAATTATCCACGAACTTGCCTTCCACCATATCGCCAAGCCGATTGCTGCAGGCCAGCACGTTCTTGACGGCGGGGGATACGCAGTATTCAATGTTCCCGGCGCAAGCGATCCAAATCGGACCCACCTTCACGCTGTCATTGTACATGCTTTTTGCAAGCCACCTGCGCCCCCATGACGAGGAGGGTATCCGCACGACTACGTGGAAGGAGGTCGTCCATAAAGCACGCTTGAAGCTTCGACGCGTTCCGATGGATCTCACCGTCCCTCCGGCAGAGGCGCCGCCACGACACGAGCAGCTCCCGGCTGAGGCTCGGGTGGATGAGTTCGCCTACCAATTGCTCCTGATCGAAGATCTAGACGACGGCCGGGTGCATACGCTGGACGAGGATGAGCCACAGCCGCAGGCATACGAAGACGTCAAGACCGCCGGCCTCCGCGAAATTGTTCCCATCCACCAAATTTCGAAAATCTTCTACGCCGACACCGGCAAGATCCTCAACATCAGCCCAGACGGGGAAACCAACAACCCGGTCCTCCTCTTGAAGCGTGACATCAACGCCATACCACCGCGGCGCATGGTCGAACGAGAGCAGTCGGCGTACGGCCACCCCGATGACGACTCCGACCAAGACAGCGCAGTAGACGAGCTCCAATCCCAGCTCGACGCCCAGCTAAACGGATCCGCCTCCGCAGCACCGCACACCAGCTTCCACGAAACTTCCATCCCCGACGAATGGCGCATCCCCAAAGACCTCGACCCAGAATGGATGGCCTTCGAAGTCTACAACGAAGACGACGAGTCAGACACCGAATCCGAAGCAGACACCCCACAATCCCGCCAACGCGAAGACTCCCTCGACCCAGAACAACTCGCAAAGCTCTCCCTCGACTCTGAAAACCCCCGAGCAACACCACCCCGCCCGCGCGGCCTCTCCAAACCCACCTCCACAACCACAACCACCAAAACCATCACCAACCCCCTCTACAACAACATCCGCACATCTCTTTCCCTTCTCGAGACCCTCCTCCGCCTCACCTCCCTCCAGCAATTCCAACAACAATCCCACCTCTCCATCAGCGACGAGCTCCTCAACTTCTTCCTCGAAGAATCCTCCACAACCGGCGCCGGCGGCGACGAGCAACACCGCCAGCGTCTCCGCGCCGACGCCCGCCGCCGCGTCGGCTGGGACCCCTACGACGAAAGCCCTGTGAAGCGCCGCGGCGAAGACTACCAGTACGCCGGCACGCCGTTGCGCACTTACTCCTCCCACGACGGGAGCGATTACCCTTACAACTCGCCGAGTGAGTATCGCGCGAAGGGTTTGCATCTTCGGTCGAGGGAGCATACGCCTAACCCTGAGACGCCGTCGCAGTCTCGTCGTGGGACGCCGGTGAAGAATGGTTCGCAGCGGCAAAGTGCGATGCGGAGCACGCCGCTTTCGAAGATGTCGTCGCGGGTTGCGATGGATAGGCCTGAATATGATGAAGATGATGGTGAATATGATGATGACGGTGTGGAATCCAAGGTGAAATGGGAGGAATCTTGATGGTGGTCTGTCACAATACTGCGTTATGTAACAGTCTGTGTTTACTTTCCCACTCATGATATGTACGGATATAGCAGATGAAAAACACTGAAAATGTGATAGCGGTTGTAAATAGCTAGGTGCTCAGATGGTAGAACAGTAGCTACAGCGTAGATACAAGGTAAGAAAATGTTGATTGACCGGCCATGTAGCACAGGACGATCCACCGTTTGTAACAGTGAGTGAGACCCATCGCAAACAATCAACCAACGAAAGAAAAAGATGTCCACGCGGGGGATTGATATCAAGAAAGCAAACTAAATAGTCGCTTGACAACGCAATAAACAACAAGTCCTCAACAGCTAACTCCTATAATCGACAATCAGAAGACAAAAAAAAAACAGTGAACAAAAAACCATAACTCCTTCGTCAAGATGTAAAGCGTCAAAATACCTATAGACATAGACGGTGTTTCCAAATCAAGACTTGCCACTCACGACACGCGCTATCCTTACTCCCAGTCATCGTCGCTCTCGTCGTCCTTGGCCTTTTCCTTGGGACTGGCGGGCGTGCGGCTGGTGGTTCCGCTGACGAGGTCATAGCTGGATTCGCTGTCCGCGGATGATTGCTGGTCGTTGGAGGGGCGGCGTTCGTTGGACTTGGGAGTAGACTTCTCGGCGGCTGGGGCAGCGTCGGCTTGGACGTCGTCGGTGGGCTTGTTGGTCTTGACTTGCGGGGTCGAGGGGGAGTCGGTGTCGTCGTCAGAATCGTCGTCCCACGCGACCTCTTCTTCGTCGCCTGCGTTGGCGCCTGTACTAGTCAGACCAACTCGCACTAAGAATGGAGAAATGGGATAGAAAAAAATGAAATGATTGAAGTAAAGAAAAAAAGAACATACCCTTCAGCAACTCCTTGCGCTTCTGCTCCTCCGTCTCAATAACGAGACGCAAGAAATAATATCTGCACCAAAACGTCGCATACTCCACTTGCTCCGGCACCAACTTCTCCATCGCAGACCGCAGCTCAGGATACTTCTCCAGATCAGCAGCGACATCATCCGTCTTACTATCAATATCGAACTTCTCCTTAAACGCCGCCCACTCATCGCTGACCGGATCCTTCGTGAAGCTCTCCAGATTCGAATGAATCACGTGCAACTGGGCCTCAAAGCGCGTCGCATGGATCACCCGCTTGCCATCCGCGTCCTTGCTCTCAAAGAGCAGCTTATCGGCCTCCGAATCCGGCGGAACGATGCTCACAGCGTCACGCAGCTTCTGCCCAATATTCATCCCGAATCGCAAGATAGCCTCGTCGGCTGCTTCCTCCGCCTTCTCGATCTCCTTCAGCCGCCGAGCTGCCTCGGCTTTCAAGCGTGCCAGGAATCCCTCCCCGGACGCAGACCCCTCGCCTTCGGCGCCCGTGCCGGTCGGCGTAGACGCCTCGTCCTTGGCAGCACCACTGCTACTACCCTCGGCATCCTCCCCGCCAGCAAACGCCGTACTCAGCGACAATCCACGTGTGCGACCCACAATATTCTCCCTCAGGTCCGAGAACCCCTTAACGGCCTCCTCGCTAGCAGCGGCATACTCCTGCCTAGCACCCTCATAGTAACTCTCTCCCTGCTTGCGCACATTATCCCACAGTCCACCAATGCGAACGCCCCAGGGGCTGGCGGAGAAAGCACGGAAAGTCTCCTGCAGCTCGGTGTTGAGATCGACGGGCGGGTGGTCGGCGGCGGCGGCATTGTTGGAGTCGCCTTCTTGGGTGGCGCCGCTTTCTTTGTTGTCTTCTTTCTTGGCGCGCTGGCTGGCGGCGAAGATCTCGCCTTCGATGTGGTCGTAGGCTAGATCCATGTCGCTGGGATGGGTGGGGTGGATGTTTTTTGTTGTTGGTTGTTTAAGGGGGGTAAGTGAGTAACGTTGGGTGGATTGGAGAGGGGGAACTGATAACGGGCGGCTGGCTGGTGCGGAGAGTCGATTGTGGATTCACTGTGGGCGTTTATCGCGTCCGTTTCCGGGCCTACGACGGGCCGAGCCCACTGTAGTCATGTCACTACTAGTAGTGACTACATTACATACAGGAGGTCTTGGTTTATTCCATTTCATAATGATCGAATTTGTTGTGACACTTGTTGATTCGTTCCTTCATTTTTTGTTCTAAATAGCTATTTGTCTAGTATGGTGCTAATCCATATGCATATGCGGGTATATATATCGTGTATCAATGTAACGCTCTCAACCACTCGTATCTGGAAGATTGTAGGGTTCTCCTACGCTATCTTGACTTCCCAGCCAGAACGCCGGAAAGGGGACGCTTTCCATTACACTGGAAGTAAGAATTTGGCTGCCAGTGAGGATACCTCGGGCGGGAGGTTTCTGCTGTTGATTGGTAGCCTTGGTAAATCTGTCTGCTGGCTGCGATGACTCGACTTGGACGGCGGCGTTTGGGGCTCGGGGTCCGAGTGGTTTCTTGCTGTCTGTAAGCATGCTAGTTTCGTGCCGTGCGACGGGCGAAGACTCGGGAACAAGTTCAGTCGATGTCCTTTCCAGATCCTGAGATTGTGTTTGTGATTGCGTTTGCGTTTGAGTTTCCGTCTGAGTTTCAGTCTGGGTCGAGCTCTGGACGTGTAATGGATCAGATGGGATGGGCGATCCAATGCCTCGAGATGGGCGTGACCCAGAAGCTGTCGACATGGAGTGGGAGTTGTGGGGTCCCTCAGGAAACAGTTCTGCCATTTTCTGTGTATTCAACACTGGGATAGGCTCTAGCGGAAACTGTGTGGCAGGCTGCACCCTCCGATAGCATATTGATGCATCGGATGGGAGATTGGTTTCTGACGTGAGACAGGACTCGGTCTCTAGCTCGGTGTGAGGAATCGGTGGGAGATATTGGGAGTCAACATCAGGCAGCTCGTCATCGTCATTGTGTTTGTCGTTGGTTTCATTATCGTCATCACTTTCGAGTAGGCGCGCCGTGGGTGAGGTGGGAGTACCAGAGAAGCCGCACTCTGAACTGTCGTAGTCCGATTCACCATCGGTCTCATATACCACGGTCCTAGGCGTGGCGGTGGGAGGTTGTTCAGATTCATCAGCCGCGTTTCCTATGCCCACTGCACTATGAGCGGATGGCTCATAGAAAGCAGGCCGATTAAGCGGCGAATACTCTCGCTTCACGGGCGTCGGGGACATATGTCGGGGTAGTGTTCCTAAATCCGGACTCTGTCGCGATACTCTTAGCTGGTCATCTTGGGGCAATTCTTCTTTGATAGGATGGCTGTCCCGTGGCGAAAAGCGTTTCAAAGGAGACCGCTGCGCGCTGCGGAATTGGGAAGAGGATATTATGGCGAGTCCCGGGCTTTCAGGCGACTGCGAAGAAGGAATGGTAGTTCGGTGGTTCCGAGGCGTTTTTGGTAGTTGCGAATCATGGTGCTGAGCATCTCTTGCCGGAGATTTCACTGTTGTATCCTCTGTCACATCATCACTGTCCAGTTTCCGTCTTTTGCTTTCGCCGGGGGTTTCCTGAGTGTGATCGTGATCTAAAACCCTCTGGTTCGATATACGATTCCTCTGGCTTTCTTCCCTTTTGGGAGTAACGTAGGTGTACTCCAGCTTCACATCGTCATCAGGCTCGATCTTCAAATAACGGCGCACATAGTCCATCTGCGTGAGGGTTTTATCCTTCTCTGCTGGTTTGTTGTCCTTCTTGCCGCGCTTGTTCTTCGTCTCTCGCTTTCCACCAGCTCTGTCCTTGTTCGAATCCTTCCTCTGTTTTTTCGACTGGTTGGTTTTCGAATCCGACCCAAACCTGACAGTGCGGGCGTTGCCTCTCGGAAGACGTGACGGTGGTTGGTAGTCATCATCTGCCGAATCATCAATCTCAATCACCTCTCGCGACGGTAGAGTACCATTTCCAGGCGCCCCATCAATATAGTCGAGATCATCATCGTCCTGCTCAAAGCTACCCTGCGACTTCGTCGACACGAAATCAATCTGCGTGAGGGTGGGCTGGTCTCGCGCACTGGGCAACGAGTTCCTCTTCCGCGGTCTCGACGCAGACGCCGACGACACTGGCGTTGCACTCCTCTTCTTCGAGGTTGTCGCTGCTCTGGGCTTCAGCGCCGAAGGGGCCCGGTCCGGCGTCTGGAAATGACCCTGGTTGGTGTTGGCAGTTGTCAACGGATGGCCTCCCCGTCTCATCGCAACTCAGGTCTGTGGAAGGGACGGGAGGGTTTGCAGATAGCCATATGAGTTGGAGATGGTGGAGCCTTGCACGCGCGGGTCTTGGACAGTTTCGGATGGTTTTCTTGTTGGATATCGGTTGTTGATAGTTGGTTTGAATGAAATGACAAGTCGCGTCGACGCGTCGGAATCATGTAAGCGTAAGTGGTGCCTGAGTGGCCCGAGCGTCCATGGTTCCAGAACCTCAACCCCAAGGCACATCCATACTGGGACGCTCAGCGTATTCAGTGGGCTAATGATGATGAGTTCTTTGCTCGAACAGTTCGAAAACACTTGAAGGAGGAGAATGAATACTCTGCACTGATAACTGATATGAAGTTTCCAGCTAACTACTATATATCGTCAAATGTTGTCCCAAGCATGCGACATATATAATCACACCATCTGTCTCTAAGTTTCCATGGGCCACAGCATTCGACTGAAGCTAGCAGATAGAATAAAGCAGGGTATGGGATTAAATAAAACACTAGAGGACCACGATATCACTTGCGCCATGACTTCAGGGTTACATCACTTGATAACCCAAAATCGCTTGCAATAGCAGGAACATTGTCCTAGGCTTGCAATCCATTCAAATGACACATACGCAATCTAATAGCCACAAGGTTCTAAAACTCACCTGAGGAGAAACTTCCCGATCAAAATGAGGACCAACAGTCGAACGCATCGTGGGAAACTTCAAGCCCTCAGCACTCGACGGTCAAGTCTCTCATTCTAATAGCGCACCGGAAACAACAGGAGCTTTATGCTTTCATTGTGGCGTACTCAGCATGTCACAATGAGATCAGGGCCTTACGGTGTACTGGTTATATAGTAGGGTAGACTACTCACCATCTTCAAGACCAGGAACACCTACACAAACCACCAAAGATCGATCCAAATCAGGAAGACATCATTCACCACCCAAATCTACGCAACAAGGTGATTAACCAACAGAGTGAAAATGAGAGTCAGAGCCCACAACAGAATGTCTCCCGACACTATGATCAAGCCGGTGCTCTCGCTTTGCACGGTGAAATTTTCCTTCCTGCCGGTATGTACTCCTTATCCCCCCAAAAGACCATGCCGTCAATTGTAAACACCGGCTCTACTGATACCAACCACCCTCAGATTCATTCAATGGATATATGCTTCAAAAAGCGGGCCAATGACGTGGAGCGCTTTATAGGAAATTCCGGCCTCAGGCACAAGGTCTTTCTATCTAACATGATTGCTGTCGGTAGGTTTCTCACTCTTCTATCCGCTCAAACACGCACTGAAAGAGAAACCCAACAAACTACAGAAGGAACATGGGACCAAATATTCCAGCTCATCTGGGACGTCCATAACCTGATTGACGGGGATGGCATGCCCAGGATCCAAGCCAGCATCAGCCTGAAAACTGGGCAGGGCCTTGGACCGATGCCTAGGTGCGACATGTCTTGCTGTGAGTCTACGGACGCGAATCGCGCCCACACCATTGATACGGCTGACGAAATGCGGCCATTGGGGGCCCCTATCTACGACTGGTCCTACGCTGGGCCCACGGACGCGAGGCGTTCTCACACCAGCGATAAGGCCGACGAGACCCAGTCATTGAGGGAAACCAGCTACGGCTGGTCCCCTCGGTCTCCGGACGCGAAGCGTTCTCACCCCAACGGTAAGGCCGATGAGATCCAGTCACTGGGGGAAGCCAGCTACGGCTGGTCCCCTCGGTCTCCGGACGTGGAGCGTTCTCACCCCTGCGATCAGGCCGACGAGACCCAGTCACTGGGGGAAGCCAGCTGTGGCTGGTCCCGCACTGCGTCTTTGGACACGGAGGGTTCTCACCCCAGCGATAAGGCCGATGGGACCCAGTCATTGGGGGTGTCTAGCTACGACTGGTCCTGGACTGGGTATAGGGACACAAAGCGTTCTCACTCCAGCGATAAGGCCGACGAAACCAAGTCACTGGGGGAGACCGATTACGGCTGGTCCGTCACTGGGTCTTTGGACTCGAAGCGTTCTCACACCAGCAATAAGGCTGAGGGGAATCTGGAATTGGAGCGATATCTCGAATCGGTTAACAGGCTTGTCGCGAGAAGGGCTGAGAACGAGAGTCCTGATTCTACATCCTGTCTTTAATACTTAGCTATACGGAGTCGGGAAGACGATTTCGCTAAGTCGTTGGTGATTGTTTCGCGTGCGCAGCCATTGCCATTTTTAGTTTCGGTGAGAGCTTCTACTCGTTGAAGGACACAGAAGCAGGGAGGCGATGTTAATGATTCATCTTGTCGCTGACAGGAAGGGTATTGGCGGGTGAGATCAGGTGGGGATCGAGTCTGTTGCCGGGGGAAAATATCGCAGTGTACGGAGTAGTTTCCTCTTCATTTATCATGCCGTTAGTTGTGGTGGTGTTTTCTTTGTTTCTATTCTATTTCGTTTCCTTTTATATCCTTCCTGCTTTATTGACTACTGCAGCCTATCAATTACCCCCGGCTAGTACTAATTATGCAGTTGGAATGCATCCAACGTAGAATGTCTCCGAACAGTCAGTTCAAAGGTTATCTCCCCTAAAACGACCGCTCAAAGCGTAGAAAAAAACCCCGAAAGACATAACTGAAAACCCAGCAGCACGGAGCACCAAACATCCTTCATGTCGATTGGCTCCTGCATATATGTTACCGACGCCTCGGGCTCATCATCACATTGTCAATGCAAGACTGTCACACAAGACAGCACACGAAGAACAAAATCCCAAACCTCGCTAAAATCCCGGTCCAAGGACGAGACCCGAGCTAGACAAGGGTCAGTATAGTAAGCGTGGAAGCAGCCTAGCCTGCCAGGTGTTCGATGCGCTTTTTATTCTACGGTCACGTCGTACCACCGACTCATGGCGCTAGTTATGTACCCTAGGTAGTACTCCGTAGTCATTCTAGGGTTTACCGCCAGAGTGGTTCCCACTACCGGTCTGAACTCGATTCGGCTTACCTCCCCAACTGATCCTGGTCTCGGAGGGACGGAGTGTAACGTATCTATAAATTTGCTTTTGGGGATCCGGGAAGTTGGTTTTGGGACATGTGTTGCTGGGATGGGTTGGTTTGGACCTTTACGTGGCTTGCAGGTCATGCAATATGCAATGAGAGGGAGGTGAAACAGGATACGTCAAGTTCCATGATTATGATGATCAGAAGGTGGGCGCATTTTATTAGGAATACATGATTATAAACAGCTATGCGGGTCTAGGGTTCGTTATAGCTTCTACGCTGTAGTATGCGTGGTTTAATACTGGATATAGTTACAGGGATGTTCGCCGTAGTCATCTATGCTGGTGACAAGATCATGGATACAGGGAAGGATAATGCAACATGGTTTCTTGTCTTCCCTCTTCCCTTGTATTTATTATTATTTTTTCTATTTTTTTATTTGATGTTATCCTATTTACTCTACTGTATTATCAATTTATCACTGATTTCTTACGATGTGAGGTACTGATCATCCGATTAGCCACCACCCATGTCATAATACACCTGGAATCCTGCACATCATTGCAAACAAGGACTAGAGCCATTGCCACCGACCCATTTTCTCGCGCCTTTCTCCAGATCAATACATGAACTACCAGTCCAGTGTCCATCATACATCTCACTGAGCCAAATTCCAAGAGGGGTCGTCCACTTCCCGCGCTTACCCACCTTAGGCAAGAGGGATAACGGACGGACGGCCAGGCGTCCGTCCGGCCGTCTTGGAAGAAGCATGCAGATCCAGGCTGCATTGCAGACTTGGCGCAGCTTCTTCGCTCTTCTGTTTCACCCTCCTGGTCTATACTGGGTGGAAAGAGCGGGGTATAGTAGGATAGGATAGTAGTGCGAGGAATGAGGAAAATTTTAACCGCTACGCCAAAATACTGACCAGCATCTGGTATAGGGCTTGATCTGACCGTAATGTCCTACAAAGGATAAATTAAGAAGAAAAAAATGAAAGAAAAAAAGGAAGATCCGATATGCTAAGCAGAAAGAGAGTGTGTTGCTTATGTGACATACAGCATACCCTGCGAAGAAGAAATTCTAACCAGGGGGTGTTCGCCTAACCCTCAAATCCCCATGAAGAAGTGGCTCGCAGATTAGAATTACAACTACTAGCCGTACTGGCCGTGGGGATGAAAGATCTCAATACTGATCCTCCTCGGTCAGACTCGGTGCCTGGTAGGGTAGGTATCCTGGTTTACAGAATACACTCAGCGAGATACAGCTGGTCTCTTTTGGCGACTCCACATCCACACCGCTGTTGAAAGTGAACGTGAAAGCAGGATCGTGGCATGGGTAGATGGACCCTTGACGAGTTAGTGTGCGTGCTAGCTCGGTCCAAGGATGCAGCGTGTCATTACGAGAGATTTGCTAGAATGCGGAAAGCTTGATTGGGGAGTGGGTTGATTGAATAACTATCATTAGTACGAGGGATCTCGACTTGAGGATTAGAAGGCGAATTGAAGGTCTTTGGGATAACGTCGTTGTTCTTCATGGGTATCTATCGAACCATCGGTGATGATTGTCAACCTCGGGAGATTTTCTGGTTTCTCTTATGTTTGTTTCTATTTTCTATTTTTCGTCTGCTTTGTTTGTCTCTCTACTAGACGCGTTTTGTCTTTCTGTCAGCTGTCAATGCCAAGTCAGCTCTGATTACGACAAGGCAGACAGCCTTTGCACCGGCAATCCTAGAAAAAGCCATGCTCCACATGTCCAATTGATGGAAAGAAAGCAAGAGTGGCATGATGCCGTCTGAAGTTGAAGATGGCCAGACCAAAGGCGTAACCAGGAGAGTGACCTGTCTCATAGTCCCATTCTCGCCATGCAGTAGCGAACTTCGGCTGTCGTCAACTAAACCCAAAGTGCCTAGAGAGATGAACCAGTTCAAACCCCGAGAGCCCACCAGTCCTCAGTCCTCAGTGCACTGTCGGGATCACCAACTCGGTTACTGAAGGCTGTCTCCGAACTAATTCTCATCGGTTGAGGTGGAAGCTGATACTGCTTTCCACCTGCATAGTACGTCTTAGAAAGGTTTCTTTACTTCTTTTATTCTTCTTTGTTTCGTCTTGTTTCTTCTTTGTTTCTATTCCCTTTCGGGCTCGCCTCTATAAGCGATGTACATGCAGCGAAATGATTGGTCTCTGGGATACAGCGTGGATACCTCGACTGTAAGGCTCTCGGTCAATTATGTGGCGAGGCTAGTATTAGTGGCATCGATATGAGCGACGAGAGCCTTGCTATGCGCAACAAACATGAACTGAACAGGCGGAGTTCCTTCCAAATTTCTAGCGAGCTGCATGATGGCTTGCATGTAAGAAAAGATGGGACCAACAAGGACACTCCATTATACGAAAGACTGACCGAGATAGCAGATAGGTAATACCGTTAATTACAGACACCAGAGATAGAAATGATGTGTTTGGACTACTAGTATGGCCTGGCTAGCACGATCATGACAGCCAAGGAAGTGAAGGAACTGCCTATACAGTGGAGAACCATCACTATTGTTCAAGAGTGAGGTTTAGTAGGCCTCTTTTACCTCCTCTCTAACATGGATAGAAGATTCTATAATGCAGCATCCTCCCAGTGTTACACCGTTGGGCAGGGATAATGCACGCGATTCCCCCGGGAGACCAGACCATCCAGACAAACACCCTCTGAATGGCCCGTTATCATCAGCATCGCTTCCCAGTTCCCACCGTGGTTCCCACCCTGTCCCGCTTTAAGTTTCACCTGCCGCCCGGCTTTCTCTTGGTTTGCAGCCACCAAGCCGACGATCAAGGAGACTCGAGTATCGGGCGGCCCCAAAAACACAAATCATGAAACAAGGAAGGAAATCATCCGTTCGGTTCCTCGGAATCCGTCCGTCGAGGTCAGGCCAAAGTCAAAAACCCCATCGAAGGATTGGAAACACACCACTGTACTACAGGCTAACGACTACTGGCATTGTTGAAAGGACGCACCTCCGAGATGGGTGACTCGTGGAGCCTTTGAACCGCCTTCAAGTGGGACGGAGTGGAGGCCCCATTCCACCGAAATGGGTGTGGGTCAGGGATCCGACAGCCTGGATACAGCGGCAAGTTGTCACTAACCCTGTTCGATATCACTGGTGCGAATCAGACTACGACGGATTGGGAAACACCCTCCATTGACCTCCTCGAGCTTACGGAGGATGTTCGAAGATAGGAAAGTAAGGCTATCTTGACTCTGACTGGGTTGTGGTCTGCGTTGTGGATGGAGACCCCTTGTTTCTTCAACTACACCGTACTGTCTATGTAGAAGGAACTGTTCTATGTTAGGACGCAAAGGGCAGATACAACACGAATCAGTTAGAGATTACTCCCCCTCTTGTGGATTTCTATCCCCTGTCTCCTGAACACTTCATCATCTCGGATTCACTTCCTTGAATAGGACAGACACATTCCTGACGCACCATCCCCTTGACGGGCAGTCACACAACTAGGGGGAATGTCTGAAGGATGATGACAGTTTCCGGCAGAATGGCACCAGCGGCCATTGGACCCCGGTCGCTGCTGAAGATCGTCCACTTCACCCCTGTACCGATGGACCTCCATCGTCGTCCGTCTGTGGTACCATCATCGAATGATCATGATCTTCTACCACAGTCGAAGATGATGTACGATACGATGAAGGGAGTTCTCCCGAACTAGGAATACCCGAGACATACTGATACCAGTAGTACGTACTAAGAATGTACCGAATGTGACGGGTTAGCCGAGGACTCGTACGGGTCAATACGAACCATCAGCCTAACCCCTTTGGATTTTTAGGCATTTGATGAACCAACCCCCAGATCCCGAGAGCCCGGTACACCCGTGTTTCTAATTTCGAGATGGAATGATGGAACAAGACGGCGATGTCCTACTGATGAGTGGCGACAACTTCAGCAACCGATCCTGTGCGCCTCCATCGTCATGGTCGAATCATCGAGCTCAGTAATACGACGTACACCTTGGAGAGGGGTTGGTGGATGATTGACTTTGTGCAGGAAACTAACTCTCCTGCCCACAATATCCTCCGTTCAATAAGCGGGGAGGGGCGCTGCAGAGAAGAAAAAGTTTCCGAGTCATCTCAGCCATCTATCTTGATTACTTGTCAAATACTCGAGTTGCTAGGGCGTGAGATACCCTAGTAAGCAAGATAGAAGATCGTACAAAGTATATCATACCATCATATCTCGTTTCACGCCGGAACCACCCTCCTGGGTTCATTGTCTGCATGTTGAGACCTGTGGTATGGTATTTTACTAAGGTAAATGCAAAGGTCTTTGCTTTTCTCAAGGCTCCGTCCCCTCATTTCTTCCGTTGGCGCCCCCGAGGTCGTTGGTTGGTTGGTAAACATCCCCTTTCCCTGCTAGCTTTCTCAGACTTTGGTTCCAGTGGATTACCTCCCCATCCACCTA